CAATGCACCAACTTCTCATCTTTTTGCTTACAGAACAAACGACAGGATGGGACTTCAAATTTAAAGTAGAAGGAAAGCTTACACCTATCTAGAAATACACTTGGGTGATTTAAGATTATACAAAAAAAAAAAACTAATGCAGATTTAGACAAGAGGAAATGTACCTAAAATAACAAGTCAAAGAAAAATCTTGGAGACAGTGTGGCGGTGAGGTTAAGACATAGGCATTGGCTTTTAGGAACATGATCATAAAAATCCATAATAAAACACTATTAAATTGAATTCAGTAAGATATGAAAATTATAATATAGCACGACTAGATGATTATAAATAAAGCTGGTTCAACTTTCAAAATTCAATTAGTATAATTCACATTAACAATCTAAATATCAAGATGCAGGAATATCAAAAGTTGAAAAGTTTTATAAATATTCATGATAAAAGCTCTCAAGCTGATAAAGAGCATCTACAACTGGATACAGGTGTAGCTCAATATCAGAGCACTTGCCTGGCATGTATGAGGCCCCTGATTCAATCCCCAGTATGGGGGGGTGTGGGGAAGAGCATTTAAAAAAAAAAAAAAAAAAAACTTATTTACAAAGCTACAGTAATTGATACATGTAATACTGACATAAAGTCAATGGAACAGAGAGCCAGGGAAGAAACACTCATATATATGGACAAATGATTGGGCAAGGGGTTGAGGGCTGGGGGTTGCTGGGAGTTTTAACCCACAGCCTTGCACATGCTGAGGCAGGCCAAATGAATTTTGACAATGTTTCCTTATTCAATGAGGAAAGAACAATCTTCCTAACATATAAATCTAGGAAAACTATATTCCATGTAAAAGAATGAAGTTGAACCTTACCTTATACCACAAGCTAAAATTAGTTCCACAAAGACTTAAAATTCAAAAGCCCAAACTATAAAACTTAAAAAAAAAAAAAAAAGTTCCATGGCATTGGATTTGGCAATGGTTTCTTGGCTATGATACAAAAAGCACAGGTAGCAAAAGAAAAAAAATAATTGTACATCAAACAAAAACACTCCAGGGCTAGGCTCAGTAGTAGAATATGTTGCTTAACATTCAGGAGGCCCTGAGTTTGATCTCCAACACCAAAAACAAACAAAACAAGAAAAAATTTAAACTCCTGTGGATCAAACATAACCAACAAGGCAAAACGACAACCTGTAGGATGGGAAAAAAATATTTGTAAATCATATATCTGATAGATAAGGGGTTAATAACCAGAAATACTGAAAGAACACCCCTTAGGGAATCTAATTTTAAAAACAGACAAAAAAATAGACTGACATTTCTCCAAACAAGATATACAAATGGCCAATAAGCACATGAAAAGATCAACATCATTAATCATTAAAATGTACATCAAGGGGCTGGGGATGTGGCTCAAGTGGTATCGCGCTGCCCTGGCATGCGCGGGGTACTGGGTTCGATCCTCAGCACCACATAAAAATAAATAAAGATATTGTGTCCACCTAAAACAAAAAAATAAATATTTTTTTTAAATGTACATCAAAAACACAGAAAGTATTGATAAGGATGTGGAGAAACTAATATACTTGGGCACTACTGGTAGGAATATAAAAATGGTAAAGCTAGCAGGTAAACAGTATAGCACTTCTCAAAAATTGAAAATAGAATTACTACATGGTCCAGCAAGTCTACTTCTGGGTCTAGACCCAAAAGAATTTACAGTAAGGACTCAAAGAGTTACATCCATGTAAACCCATGTTCAGAGCAGGATTATTCATAGCAGCCAAAAGTTGGAAGAAACACAAAGTGTCCATCAATGATGGGTGAATGAATAAACAAAATGGGGTATATATAGATGATATTATTATTCAGCCTTAAAAATTAAATTCTAACAATACTGATATACAATATTGATAAACCTTGAAGACATTATGCTAACTGAAGTAAGCACAAAGGACAAATACTACATGACTGTATTTATATGGGATACCCAGAATAGTCAAATTCATAGAGGCAGAAAACAAAAACTTGCTACAAAGCTACAGTAATCAAAACAGTGGTTCTGACATAATGACAGACATATAAGACAATGAGTTAGGGAGCCTAGGCAAAAGCCCTCACATATATGGACATTTATTTTTATTTGTACATTTGACAAACCTGAGGGGAATGGGTATTTACAATTCTTTTTAGTTGTAGATGAACACAATACCTTTATTTTATTTATTTTTATGTGGTACCGAGGATCGAACCCAGTATCTCACGTGTGCTAGGAAATGCCCTACCACTGAGCTAAACCCCCAGCCCAGGTATTTACTATTAATGGGTACCAAGTTACAGTTTTGCAAAATGAGAAGAATTCTGTGTATGGACATTGGTGATGACTGCACAATTTATATGAATGTATTCAATGCCACAGAACTGCACACTTGAAAATAGTTAACATGGTATAAATGTTATGTGTATTTTACCACAGTTTTAAAAATAAAAGAAAACCCTATAGAGTTAACATCATACTTAATAGTGAAACTGAATTCTTTCCCCTCAAGATTAAGAACAAGGCAAGAATGTCATTCTCATCACTTCTATCAAACACTGTACTGGAAATTTTAGCCAATGCAATAAATTAGGAAAAATAAAAGTCATAAACATCAAAAAGGAAGACATAAAACTGTCTTTATTCACAGAAGTACACATCGCAAGATATACAAGTCCCAATGAGTTTATTTCTTAAAAGTTAGAAGAGCTAGTAAACAAATTTAACAATGTCATAGGATATAAACTCAACACACAAAAACCAATAGCATTTCTATACACTAGAAAAAAACAGTTGGAAAATAAATTTTAAAAACAATATGATTTATTGTAGTATTAAAAAACAAAATAGGGATAAGTTTAAAGGAAGATATACAAGATCTCAACACTAAACTTTTTAAAACATTAGTGAGAAAAAATAAAGACGACCTAAATAAGAGGAAAAACTCACTGCTATTAAGATGAAAATTCTTACCCAAATGGATAGAGTCAATGTTATTCAATCAAAAACTTAGCAAGCTGTTTTGTGTTTAAAAAAAAAATGATAAGCTGATTCTAAACTTATATGGAAACAAAAGAAAAAGAAGAAAAGCTAGATCAAGATGCTTTGAAAACGAGAATGGAGTTAGAAGACTAACACTATCTGATTTCAAGATTATAAAGAAGCTACAGTAAGCAACTCAAAATGGTATTTGTAAGAAGATAAAAAGATTAATGAAAGAGATATGACGTCTATTTAAGTAGACTCAAATTATTTTCAACAAAAGCATCAAAATATTAAGACAGTCTTTATTTTTATTCACATAAAAAAGATTTTGATTTTTTTAATATTTATTTTTTAGTTGTAGGTGGACACAATATTTTTATTTCATTTTTATGTGGTGCTGAGGATTGAACACAGTGCCTCAACAAGTGCTAGGCAAGCGCTCTACCACTGAGCCACAACCCCAGCCCCAAGATTTTGATTTCTATTTAATAAGACACAAAAAAGGGGCTGGGATGTGGCTCAAGCAGCAGCGCGCTTGCCTGGCATGCGTGCGGCCCGGGTTCGATCCTCAGCACCACATACAAAGATGTTGTGTCCGCCGATATCTAAAAAATAAATATTAAAAAAAAAAAAATTCTTTAAAAAAAAAAAAGACACAAAAAAAATTAAGATAGATTAGTGTAAACAATAAAACCATAAAATTTCTGGAAGAAACATAGAATATCTTTGCAACCTCAGGTTAGGCCAAGATTTCTTAGGAAAGACACAGAAAACATTAATCATAAGCTGGATTTCATAAAACCCTAACTGTTCATCTCACTATAAAACATGTTAAAAGGAAAGCCACAGATTAATAGAAAATATTCAAAATACACATCTTTGATGATGGACTTGTATCCAGAATAAAAACACCTAGAACTCAATAAATGAATTTTAAAAAACACAATTTTTTAATGGTCAAAAACTTGAAAAGACACCAAAAAGATAATATATGAATAACCAGTAAATACATTAAAAAGTGACCAACACAATTAATCACTGAGGAAATGAAAATTAAAACCACATCAATCCATTTATAAAAATGCTCACTAAAATTACTAAAATTAAAAAGACTAACAACACCAGATGCTTGCAAATATCTGCAACTGGAACTCATATACTATTGGAACTGTAAAATATGTAAACATTTTGGAAAACTGTTTGACAATTTCACAAAAAGGTTTACATACAACTAGGTGCACTCCAGAGGATAAAACAGAAGAATCACCAAGTTTGAAGTCAGCCTCATTAATTTAGCGAGGCACTAAGCAATTTACCAAGACTCTGTCTTAAAATAAAAAGGGCTGAGGGTGTGGCTTAGTGTCAAAGCACTCCTGGATTCAATCCCCAAAACAAGAAAAAAAAAAAAAAAAAACACCTACCATGTAACCAAACAATCCCTAAAGTATGTCTAAGAGAAATAAAAATATACATCCATAAAAATCTTGTACAAAAATTTTATAACCAATTTATTTGTAGTAGGTGAAAACTAGAAACAGCCCAGATATAAACAGATGAACAGATAAATTGTGACACAGTCAATGGAATACCACACAACAGTTTAAAAAAAAAAAAACTATTAATACCCCTGCATCACGGATTAAGTCTCAAAAATAAAAGCACAAAAGTGTTGTTTGATTCTATGCACGTAACATTTTAGAACAGGCAAAACCAATCTAACATGACAAAAATCAGAAGTTTTTACTTTTTGGGATAGAGAGTTGGAAAAAACATAATGGAATTTTCTGAAGGGGTGTAAATGTTCTTACCTCGATCGAATGTCGATTACAAGGTACACACATTTGTGAAAAATGATTTAATTTTATACTTTAGATCTGTGTTTCATTGTTTGTAAATCTATACCTCAACTTTTAAAAAAAAAAAAAAAGATAAAAAGGACCCAGGCTTTGGGATCACACAGAGTTCAGCTCTGCCACTTACCAGCTGTGTGACCTTGGCCAAGTGTTAAACTGTCAGTTTCCTCATCTGTAAAATGGAGAAAACAAGAGAATAACCTCACAGAGCTGCCAGGAAGGGTAAATGAGATGTTTTAATAATGTAAGCATACAGTAAATGATCATTAAATGTTAAAAAAAGCTACAAATTTCTGTTCTCTATTTAAGTGAAGAAAAAAGATGCAGGGATGACTATAGCAGCTAAATGCTGGGTAATTCATATTTATTATCTTATTTGTTTTTTAAAACAACCCCTAACAGAGATTATTACTGTTTTAGGGATGAAAAAAATAGAGGTTGCTATGGTTACTCAGCAAAGAAGCAGTTATACCAGGATGCAAACTTTCACTCATGTTTTCCCACTGTCCCACACACCAGGTGTTCCAGTGGGGTCACAATCCAGTAGAGCAATTAATTCAGCAATTAACCCTGTAACTGTCAGGACAGCCAAATTCAAGAAGTTACTGAGAAGCCCCCTTCATTCTTGACAGTACTATCTCAATCCTCCTGGCTTAGCAAATCTGATGGCTTGATTGGTAAGTGGAAGAGGTAGAGCTACAAAAAGAAGCCTAAAATGCTACTCTAGGCTTACACTCTGTTCTTGGATTTCAAGATACTTTCTGCTACTTGAGGGCACTGATATCCATTCCTTAGAGCAACTTCATAACAGAACTCTGTGCTGGGTGTGGTGGCACATGCCTGTAATCCTTGACTCTGGAGACTGAGGCAATGGAGACTGAGACAGGAGGACTGAGAGTTCAAAGCCAGCCTCAGCAATTTAGCAAGGCCCTAAGCAACTTAGTGAGACCCTGTCTCAAAATAAAAAATAGAAAAGGCTGAGGATGTGGCTCAATAGTAAAGCACTCCTGGGTTCAATCCTCAGTACAAGAAAAAAAAGATAACCCTGAATATAAAACCTGCACTCTAAGTAAGAAGCTAGAGCCTGAGTGGCTCAATTTGGCAGAGAGAAGTACCTTGAAAACTTGGCACATGAAATGAGAATTAATGGTTTTTTAAAAATATGTATTTTTTCTTAATAATTCTTTTTTAAAAATGAAATCACAAAGATAGTGAGTTTCCCTGTAATCCCATTTTTCTAAAGATATCACTGTTAACAGTTCAGCATATCCTCTTCCAGACTAAAACTTGTCCTCCACACTATTTAATTACTCCCCTATTTAATTTTTGAGTTATTTTCAAATATTTTTACTACTATAAATGCTGAAAGAAATATCTGTTGAATATAACTACCATTTCTTTAGGATTAATTTCTAGAATAAACTCCTAAATTTGTAATTTTAAATTTTTTATTTTTAAATTTTAAACTGTTGGGGCTGGGGATGTGGCTCAAGCAGTAGCGCGCTTGCCTGGCATGCGTGCGGCCGGGTTCAATCCTCAGCACCACATACAAAGATGCTGTGTCCGCCGAAAACTAAAAAATAAATATTAAAAAATTCTCTAAAAAAAATTTAAACTGTTAACTGCAAAAGTAACATACACAATATCAGTTTGATAGATATTATTAGATTACACTTATAAGAGTTTCCATTTAGAGTTTCCATTTTCCTAAACTCTCATCAGCCCTAAAATTTTTCATTCTTTAACATAGGTGTTATAAACTTAAATGTCTGTGGACAACTAGCAGGAAACTTCAGGATGCCACATGGGTCTGTGACAAACCTGAGAGTGCATGCTTATCTAAAGAGGACAGACATTACACCACTCTGTTTCAGCAATGGATTCCACATAGAAATCCAAGCTCAATATTAGATCTTCAATATATCAAGAAAACCAGAAATCTAAATTTTTATAAAATCCCTGCAAGTTTTGACAACTAACATGCTTTCATTTAAATATCCTGGGCTGGGGATGTGTGATAGTTTAATAGGGGAGTAATTAAATAGCATGGAGGACAAGTTTTAGTCTGGAAGAGGATATGCTAACTATTAAGCTCAGTGGTAGTGCGCTTGCCTTGCACGTGTAAGGCATTGGGTTCAATCTTCAGCACCACATAAATAAATAAAATAAAGGTATTGCTTCCAACAACTAAAATAAAAATCTAAAAATAAATAAAAACTAAAAATAAACATCCTGCAAGTGAGAAAAAAATCTATCTATAGGGCAGACCATACTCAGCATGTTGAATTTTGTGCTGACATTAGAAAAGGTTATAACACCATATTCTCATTTTGAATCTTAATATTCTATAGTTTATCTTTTCCTATGTTTACCAAAAAGTATGTTCAATTTTGGTTCACAGTGACTATTAACAATCTTCCAAGAAAGAAGCTTATCTTTTCTTTCATATTCATTTACAAAACTACTTCAGGTACAGAAGCTACAGTGTACCCAGAAAAATCATGTAAAGACTAACCTGTGAGGGCTAAGGTATAACTCAGTGGTAGAGCACTTGCCTGGTATGAATGAGGCCATGAATTTGATCCCCCAGAAACTTAAAGGGGGAAAAAAATTCATAAGGACTACGCTGCTGTACTCTCAGCTTACTTAGAGCACCACAAGATTTTTTTAAGAAAATGCTGATTTATAAAACTATGCATAATTTGGGAAAGGGTAGCTTTGATCTAGGGTATCCTTCCACTACTGATATATTTGCCCAACACAAGAAATTTTCAATCTAAGCAACCAATTTCAGCTTTTTTGTTTATGAAATAAAGGTTTATAAGACTCTCTGATCTCTCTCTCTTTTCTGCTCCCACAGAAAAAACAACTGCTACAACCTATCTAGCATCAGAGTTTCTTTTTCATTCCTTCTTAGTCATCCATTACAAATCTCCAGTCTTAGATGTTCAAGCATTCCCTGCACCCACCAGAGATAGTGGCAGACATCCATGACTATCCAAGGACCCAACAACCGCCTCTGAATACAACTATCTTTCCATCAATTGTAAACAAGTGCTGAACTCTTGGCTCCATACAGAGTCTCTACCAAGTCAGTATAAACTCTGAAATAGGGGCAGAGGTTAAGGGGATGAGAGTTCAGCTCAAGCTCTGGGTCTCATACTGCCCCCACCCTGTTCAAAAGAATCCTTATCAGACGGGAACTCCCCAGCAAAGGACACATTCAGGAGACTTGATCTAGCAACAATGCACCAGATTCAGGTGAAGTTTTAGAACCAGGCTACTGAACTGTTATGAATGCTATGGAGAAAGGGAGACAGAAAGAGGAGAAATAAGGCATATTTGTGAATTTATCTTCAGGAAAGAATCTGTCTGATAACTGATGAAATAATACTGTACCTGAGCCACAAAAGATATTTCTTTGGGATCTACTGCATAGTGAATTATTCCACTTCATATCCAAAATCATCCTAATATATACAAAAGATGCCTAAATGATACTTTTTGGGGGGCAGGGGCACTAGGGATTAAACCAAGGGGTGCTTAACCAATGAGCTACAGACCCAGACTTTTTCATTTTTGGAGACAGAGCCTAAGTTGCTGAGGCTGGCTTAGAACTTGAGATCCTCTTGCCTCAGTCTCCCAAGTCACTGAGATTACAGGCTTATGCCACCATGTCTGACTCAAATATTACTTTGAAAATAAAATAACCTGAATTATTCTTCTGTACATAAAAGCCCCACTATATGGGGCTGGGGTTGTGGCTTAGCTGTAGAGTACTCGCCCAGAACATGCAAGGCACTGGGTTCGAACCTCAGCACCACATAAAAATAAATAAAATACTAGTTTTTAAAAAATAAAAAAGCCCCACTATATATATTAGAAATCATTATACTGCCTTAAAGTCTTCCACCATTGGCATCTGAGATTTGTCACAATCAACAAGAGAACTACAGACATTTAAAAACCTGTTTAGGCCTCACAACTCTCATCTGGTAATATAGTGTCTTTTTTCTTTTTCTTTTTAAATATTTTTAGTTGTAGATGGACACAATACCTTTTATTTATTTATATGTGGTACTGAGACTCAAACCCAGTGCCTCACACTTGCTAGTTAAGTGCTCCACCACTGAGTCACAACCTCAGCCCAGGATAGTGTCTTTTTAAACAGGTTTTATGAGCGCTTAATGAAGAAACTCATGTTAAGTATTACATGTGTAATACTTTTACTACTCTGTAACAAAAGCCATATCAACTTTTGTGTTGTCCTTCCTGACTCAACCAGTCCCTTGAGGGTACGAACAGCAGTTTGGCATACAAATCAGGGAGGGAAAAAATAACAGTAACTGTGTTAAATGGACAGGTACTAAAAAACTGAACCTGAAATTAGATAGCTTCTTAGGTATTAACCCTTCTCACAACTACTGAACATATCCTAAGTACCTGGCACATAAATTCTACCCAATAAATGGTAATTCCCTTTCCCTCTTTGATATCTAACATTCAGTCTTAAGTTCATTCTCTACAACAATACTTGAACCTACATGAACTACTTGCTGAAGCCAAAAATTGTAGCAGTTTGATAACTATGAATACACCCAATAGGACATGGGACAGAATTCAGGAATTCTAGCTAGTACCTATGGGTACACTATACTTGAATGTATGGATACAAAAGAATCTCCTTGGGATCCCAACATACTTGACAGTTGAATGCAAAGTGAGCAAGTTGGTGGTGACAGGCTATCTTAATATGAGCCTGTTTTGTTGTTGTTGTTGTTTTGTTTTTTTTTTTTAATTTTACTCATTTATTCCACTATCACCATCCTTGCTTGGTACAGCAAAAAAGGGCAATGATTAAACTTTCAAGTCTCTTTTTTCTTTGGCAGTGCTGGGGATTGAACCCAGGGCCTCGCACATGCTAGGCAATCACTCTATCACTAAGCTACATCCCCACATGTCTTTCAAAAGGCTTATTTATCTAGGTTCTTTATTAGAATATATTTTGCTTTTTAAAGTCTGGATCAGCAAGAATCCCAAATATATAATGTTTTTTAAATGGTAACAGTCAGATTTTTAATTGTACAAATCCTTTCCTCAGCATACTTTTATTACACTTTGCTATTAACCAAAGAGAAAATACATAATCTGAGTACTTCTTTTAAATATGCA